AAAAAAAAAAAAAAAAAAAAAAAAAAAGGATGGACATGAAAATAAGAATTACATAATTAATTTATTTTTAGTCAAATAATTTTTTTTAAAATTTCAAACAATAAAAAACAAAAATGCTGACTTCCCACGTGAAAAACATGATTTCTCTCTCCTCATAATTTTCTCTCTCTTATCTTTCTTTTCTTTTAAAAAATATTAAAAACCTATGTAAAATAATATAATATATATATATATATATATATATATGTATGTATATATATATGCATGTATGTTATACAAAGATGCTCATAAAATATTATAAAACATATATATGGTAACAAAAAAAAATAATAAAATTTCCAAGAATAATAATATTAAGGTTTAATTTTTGTCCAAATGGGGCAAGTTTTTGAAGAACCACTTAATGGTCAATTTTGTGCATTGACTAAAATTAATTTCATCTATGTTTGATTTCATTGAAATTAACCATTTTTTTTAGGATTTATTAATTAAATAAAATTGGAAGTTTTTATGAATTTTTGAAAAATTCATACAATAATACCCGATTAAAAGGGTAGAATTTTAAATGCAATCAAGAAATTATGCTATTATTTGAGTTCCGTGAACTTACCCATGGACTTCCTCGCTAATATTGCGATTTGATTATATTCTGTAGAAGTTCTATTCTCGAGTGGTCATTTCTTATCTCTGCTCTGGTTGAGCTTTGTTGACAAGGATCTTTTGTTCAATAATTTGGTTTCTTCTTAACCAAATTGACCATAGAAGCAACACAGTTAGCTTAAGGTCGCTTTTAGATTATTCCCTAGCCACCCGTGATCATATATCCATAAGATTCACAATATTAGACTGTTGAAAGGTATCGATTGAAGCCCAATCCTTCCACACTTGTCTGATAGATTAACAGAGCTGTAGGGCACGAAGAACATTCTCCCCTTTTTGCCAAAGTTAGCAGGGTCAACTTTGAGGAATGTACTGAATAGTTCGTTAAGAATCACGAGTCTCCACAATGGTATGATATTGTCCACTTTGAGTATAAGCTCTCGTGGCTTTACTTTGGACTTCAGGACTTGTTTGACACTCTAGTCACTTTTAATTAGACCTTTGAGGCTCACAATTCTTTTTTCGATATTTGAAGATTCTATTGACATGGCTCAGTTTAGGGCATGACTCTGATACCATGTTAACCTTCGAGGCTCACATTCTTTTTTCGATATTTGAGGATTCTATTGACATGGTTAGTTTATGGCATGACTTTGATACCATGTTAAAAATCACGAGTCTCCACAATGGTATGATACACTTTGAGCATAAACTTTCATGACTTTGCTTTGGGCTTCCCCAAAATGCCTCATACCAATGGAGATAGTATTCTTCACTTATAAACTCATAATCTTCTACTAAATTAACCAACGTGGACTCACTCCCAATAATCCTCAGCATAGGTCTCCAAATTTTAAAGTATCAATCTATGTCTAGTATAAGATTTAAGTGTTTGACGCATTTTTTGAAATTCATATATATTTATTAGGCATGAAATTAAGAATTTAAGAATTGTCGAGACGTTTCTTAAAATTTAAGAATTTAAGTTGGAAGCTCATGAGAAATTTTGATTTTTTAAAGAGCTTCAAATATTATGAGGTGAAACCATCGATCCTTGAAATAATAATCAACCTATTATTTACTAAGCTAACTCAAATGGACTAAAGAGCTTCAATTTTGATTTTGATAGACACCGATGAAATGAGATGAGCTGAGATATATTAAAAATAAAATAGTTGCTGAACTAATGAGAAGCTTGTGATCGTTCGAATATCTCGAGTTTTTCCTTGGCATGTGAGAAGTGGTCTTCTTCATACACCCATCTTTTACCACATTTCCAATATGCCCCCTTGCCCGTTGTAGAGCGACATCTCTTCTCGAAAGAATACTTCATGTTAGTGAAGGTCTTCATCTTAGTTTTACAGGTTGAACACAAAATTGTTGCGGAAAACATTCACACTTTTATTAAAACCAATATCATTGATCCTATCAAGTTATAAAAAAGAAGGGTTTGCAAATGATTCTTCGCATGTTCTTAGCCCATGTAACTTGATAAAAGTATACGTCAATTATCGTTCAATTATATTTATTTTTACAATTTTTTTTTTCATTTGGTATATACTATGATTTTTTAGGCATTTTATCTTCATGATCCTTCAAATTCGGATGTTTAAAAACATCTAAATTCTACCGAAAGTAATTCGTTTCATTTTGTATTTAAGATTATAGTTTTGAAATTTTTGAGAAAAATATTAGAAATATATAGATATAAAATGTAAAAAGAAAATATTAGAAAATGGATATTAATAGATCCAATGCCATGTCATGGGGATGCGTCGTACAAAACAAACTGTTAGACGAACACGACTCTCCACAATGGTATGATATTATCCACTTTGAGCATAAGCTCTCATGCCTTTGCTTTGGGCTTCCTAAAAGGCCTCGTACCAATGGAGAGTGTATTCTTAGATTATAAACCCATGACTATTCCCTAATTGGATGATGAAAGTCCCACATCGGTTAATCTAGGGAATGGTCATGGGTTTATAATCTAAGAATACACTCTCCATTGGTATGAGGCCTTTTGGGAAGCCCAAAGCAAAGCCGAGGGGAGGTGTTGGATGATGAAAGTCCCACATCGGTTAATTTAGGGAATGGTCATGGGTTTATACACTCTCCATTGGTACTGTCCTTTTGGGAGTGGACAATATCATGCCATTGTGGAGAGTTTCGTCTAACACAAACATCTCATAGAAAGCTGTATTGTATAGTATTGACCATTATGATGAGACCGACTGACTATTAAATATTCTTCAAAATTGTCAATTGTGAGCCACTTCGGCAAGGTCGTTGTTGTGCCCCTCTGCTATGACGCCCCTCTGCTATGACTTGAATTTGACTTGAATTTGATTCTAACCATCGACATAGATTGTTGAGCACAACTCTTTGTAGCATTCGTATTCTTCATTAAAACCAATAGATTACGAGACAATTCTAACCCCTGCTATGTCTAGTCGTCTTTATTCCTTAAATACGTGAATACGAGACAATTCTAACCCCTGCTATGTCTAGTCGTCTTTATTCCTTAAATACGTGAATGTGCTTATACAATTATTGGATTTGACCTTATTGAGCTAATGATGATATTTTAATGTAGATCTCATGAGACTCCCCACTATTACGACGAAAAAAATCCTCCCCTTTTTTTCTCTATTAGGAGAGTCCGCTAGAGTCGATTCAAATATTAATAACATGTAATTTAGGATTAGAAAAAAACTAGGCATATAACCTAAGCTCACCACTAGTTGTCAGCTTTGACCTCTTACATATCATCGTTAGCGTCATACTTTTAAAACGCATCTACTAAAGAGAGGTTTCCACGCCTTTATAAAAAATGTTTCGTTTCCTTCTCCAACAAACGTGGGATGTAACAGAAAGTTCGTCAAAGAGATACTAAAAAAGTGTTAGGAACATTTAATACAACTTTTAAAAAAAATTATGGTCTACTCGTCTTTAATCTAGTTGTTGGTATTTTTTAAACTATAGATCTAATTAACGTATTATTTAATTTATAAGAATTAGAGCATAAACACATTCAATAAATCTTTTGAATAAGAATATTACAAGCAGGATGAAAATAGAGATTGAACTAAACAAATGTTGAAAATAAAAGAACAAAATATCATATGAATCAAATAGTATTTTTAAAAGAAAAATATTATAAATGATCATACAAAAGAAACTACACTGTAATCATCTTCTTCCAGTGGAGCTGGCAAATTGAGATCCAAACCGATCTCAAGCTTCCTAGAACCCCCATCAATGGCGGCTCTGATCGAACCCTGTAAATGGGATCTTTTATGTCCCCCTAAAGCTTGTCCAGACCCAAACACTTTACAACAATAACAACATTTAAAGATCTTCCACTCACCTCCATTAATCCCATCTTCTTCCCCTTCATTTCTGCAAACTTTTCTGTGCCCAAACAGAGCCCTGTTCGATCGGAAAGATTTCTCGCATTTCCCACATCGGAAACTTTTACCCATCGTCACCGGCATCGCCGCCGTGGATTTTTTCGATTCCGGCGTCCGACTCTGTTCCTTCCCCTGTTCCATCGAGAGCATTACCAGGCAGATGGCGACGTCTTCCTCCGGCGAGGTGTCGGAGATGGAACTCGCAGGCTCCGACGACGGCGGTGACTCGGACTTGAATCTCCGAGTTCGTTTAGAGCGCCGCCGAGTTGGGTTCTTTGACTCGGTTTCGCTCTCTCTGTCTTGGATGGTGGAGATGCAGAGCATTTCTGGATCTGGTGATCTGAGGGTTTTGATGGGATTTTCATGTTCAATGGAGAAAGTGGCTAAATGGGCTTTCATGTGGCCGCCTAATGCTCTGCCATTGACGAAGCTTCGAGAGCAGAGCTTGCATTTATGGCTCTCCGCCATTGTTGCTCTGTTACAGAAACAGAGGAGGAAGAGGAAGAAGAAGAAAGCTCTGTTTTTGTTTTCTCTGTCTAGGAAGGTGGAGAAGTGAAGGAAGGGATTGAGGGAGTTGAAAGTGGAGAGAAATGAGTAGGTGACAAGCATTCCTCCACCAAAAAGACATCCACATAGCCCAAAGTTATGATTTTTAATGCTTCTTTTCATTTTCATTCCACATTTTTAAATAAATAGTCCCGAGTCTACACGATCCAATGTCGGGCTCTTATACCATTTGTAACAGCCCAAACCCACATCCAGTGTCTTCCTCTACACCGTCCAGTGTCAAATCATTTGTAACAACCCAAGTCCACGTCAACTGTCTAGCTCTATTATTAGTAACCGCTTAAACCCACTGGAAGCTCTATTATTAGTAACCGCTTAAACCCACATCCAGTGTATGGCTCTACACTGTCCCGTGTCAAACCATTTGTAACAACATAAACCCATGTTCAATGTCTGTCTCTACTCTGTCCAGTGTCATACCATTTGTAACGGCTCAAACACATGTCTAGTGTCTGGTTCTGATACCATTTTTAGCCGCTCAAGCCCACATCTAGTGTATGGCTCTACATCGTCCAGTGTCAAATCATTTACAATAACTCAAGCCCACGTCCACTGTCTAGCTCTATTATTTGTAACCCCTTAAACCCATGTCTAGTGTATGGCTCTACACCGTCGAGTGTCAAATCATTTGTAACAGTCTAAGCTCACATCTACTGTCTAGCTTTATTATTTGTAACCGTTTAAACCCACATCCAATGTATGGCTCTACACCGTCCAGTGTCAAACCAATTGTAACAACGTAAACCCACGTCCAATGTCTGTCTCTACTCTATTCAGTGTCCATTTGTAATGGCTCAAACACATGTCTAGTGCCTGGTTCTAATACTATTTTTAGCCGCTCAAGCCCACGTCTAGTGTATGACTCTTATACCATTTGTAAAAGTCTAAACTCACCGCTAGTAGATATTGTCTGTTTTGATCCGTAACATATCGTCGTCAGCTTCACGGTATTTAAAAACACGTCTACTAGGGAGATGCTTCTACACCTTTATAGGAAATGTTTTGTTCCCCTCTCCAACTGATGTAGGATCTCACATTTTATGTGTTCATTTTGATTGTTGCACTTCAAAAAAAAAAATGTTCGTTTTAGTTTATGTCCTTTTAAAACCTTAATTTTAGTTTCTAAACTTTCAAATAAAAACAATTTTTTATACCTATTTATAAAATTTACGGTAATATTTTAATAAATTTAGTGAATAAACTATCTGTCTCGATATCTAACTTCTTGAAGTATCTCATATGTTATTGATTAGGGCAAAAATGTATGTAACCAAAGTTAATACTCGTTCTTGATGGTCAAATTACCTTGTCGAGCGCTACTGCTTTTTTCTGAAATAAATCAAACAAATAGGGTTCCTTCGGTCTATTCTAGAAACCATCATCGTCGGTCTACTCTATCTCAATTCACCATTTCGAACTTTTATAGAAAGGTTTTTCGTACTATCTTCTTCTACCCATCTCGTAGTGGAAACTCTTTACCCTCCCGATAATGAGGGCTCTATAGTCTTAGAAAGCACTCAAACGAGCTTCTTTTAAAATAAAATACAATAAAATAAAATAAAAAAAGTAAATAACTATAAAAATTTAATGATGGAGAGTCATTAGGGAAAGTATTTTCTTTAATAAAATTAATTGACTTGTGTTTTAAGCTTTTATTGGAATATTATGATTCAAATAAAGGGCAAATATTAATAATAAGAAAATAATATTAATTCTCCATTGAAAATACAAAATAAAAAAATTTAAAAATATATTTAATAAATTATTGGGATCTGCGTGTCCAGCGTATTAACGCCTAAACTCATTCTCCATCTACACTAATATATTCTTTTTCATTATTTATTTATTATCGTCGGAGAGGGGAATAAATAATTTTTTATAACGATATATAAATTTCTCCCTAACAGACACATTTTAAAACTGTGAAGTTGACGGTGATATATAACGGGCTAAAACGAACAATATCTACTAGTGGTGGGCTTGGACTGTAACACTCTCGTTCCAATGAATCTAAATGAATTTGCTCCATCTAGGTTGACATCCTATTCTCGAGGGGTGGAAAGTCATTTTGGTATACCCGGGAATAAAAAATTAGAGATGTGTATATGACACGATAACCCGACTAATTTGGACTATCCAAGGGTTGAGTTAGATTTTTTTTTCTAGTTTTGATTGGGTCTGAATTTTCGGGTTTGTTCTTATTAATATTACATGTATAATAGCTCTATTCGAGTGGTTCGGATCACCAACTTGACGATTGGATATAATGACGATTGGATTAGGTCATGAACTCTATTCGAGTGGTTCGGATCACCAACTTGACCAACACGAAATTTCGATTTAATCGAAAAGATCTCTCTAATCCAATCCGTATAAATTATGTGTAGATTGATGGATCGAAAGTAATGTTTTTTAGTTACTCGAGCGCTCGTAAGGAACATTTTTCAATTTTGAGAGAACGTAGGGACGTAAAAATAAAAAGGAAAGAGTTGGAGGAGTTAAAAATAAAAGAGGAGAGAGAAAGGGGGTGTCAATTATAATGGCACACAAGTTGTTGGGTTTGTTGCACTTTCTTCCACCCACAAGTCCTTAGATTGTAACATCATGTGATCTTGACTTTATTAATTTCCTCACCAATACTTTTTAATTAAACTTTTATAATTAAAGGTGTTCATGGGTCGAGTTGTAACATGTTTGTAGACTTGAACCGGGGTTAGAGGCTCGAGCATACGTCGCTTGTTGCTGCACAATCGCAAGTCTGCTGTCATTAAAGTGCGACTGTGTCAAGTAACTCAAAAAATAATTTTTTTTTGTTTTCTGGCTTGTTCAAGTTGTTAGACGAACACGACTCTCCACAATGGTATGATATTGTCCACTTTGAGCATAAACTCTCATGGCTTTGCTTTAAGCTTCTCAAAAAGCCTCATACCAATGGAGAGTGTATTCTTAGATTATAAACCCATGATCATTCCCTAAATTAACCGATGTGAGACTTTTATCATCTAACACAAGTCATTTATTCAAATTTTTGTTTTTAATAAAAACAAAATTTTAGTTGGAAGCATCTATTTATTTATTTTCAAACATTTAATTAAAATTTATTATTCAATTTCAATATATATTTTAGAAAAATAACTTTTCATGAGAATATGGTTATGAGAACGATTTGGTTCATATTTGGACTGAGACTGATTCATCGACTTTTTCGAGTCTTTTGAATGAAAAGGAATGAATTGTCTGTTCATGGTTCGACGAACAAATAAAAATATTAAAATTCAAAAAAAAAAAAAAAAACGAAGGCTATACACTATAGAAGGGGAAAGAGGGCGAGGGAATTAGACCATTTTGCGATGGGGAATTGATTTGCAAAATTATGCAAAAACCCTTCTATACCAAATTACAATTATACCTACAAACACAAAAGCCACTGCTTCAAAAATCTGCCGCCACAATCTCAATTCAAAATGCCTGCAATTTTCAGCCATGTTTCTCGACCAATTACCAAGATCCATGGACCAGCTTCCGAATGGTTCTTGCCGGTGGCGGCCGCACCGCCGAGTTGGCTCTAGCCGAGGCCTTTCAGGCGCTCAAATGCAACCCAAATGGCTACGCTCTGGTTCAACTGGTTCGTGCCTGCACCACCCACGCCTGGGATTCCTGTGGTCACCAGCTTCACAGCTACATTTTGCGATCTGGGTTTGCCTCTAATGTCTTCGTGGGCACAGCCATGGTAAATTTCTATGTCAAAAGTGAGTCCTTTGATAGTGCCCATAAGGTGTTTGATGAAATGCCTCAACCAAATTTGGTTTCTTGGAACTCTTTGATTTCTGGTTATGTGCACTGTGGACAGTTTCGCAATGCTTTGTCTTCGTTTATTGCGCTTGATGGGTCTGAAAATCTCGTGGATTCATATTCTTTGTCTGCAGCTTTAAATGCCTCTGGCCAGCTGGGTTGGCTGATATTGGGTCAGTCGATTCATTCAAAAGTTGTAAAGCTTGGACTAGAAAACAATACCATTGTTGCTAATTGTTTGATTGACACGTATGGAAAATGCGAGTCTTTTGAAGAGGCAGTTAAAGTGTTTAATGACATGATTGATAAGGATACAATTTCATGGAATTCAGTTATTGCAGCCAGTGCTAGAAATGGAAGGCTAGAACAGGCATCGAGGTATTTACGACAGATGCCTCGACCCGATACTATATCATATAACGAACTGATAAATGGTTGTGCTCAATTTGGAGATATTGAAGAAGCTGTAGAAATTCTATCAACGATGGATAGTCCAAACTCTTCATCTTGGAATGCAGTGTTAACAGGATATGTTGATAGGGATGAAGCATGGAAGGCTTTGAGTTTCTTCACTAAGATGCACTCGTGCAACATCGGCATGGATCAATTCACATTTTCAAGCATTTTGAGCGGCGTTGCAGGGCTCTCGGCACTGACATGGGGTTCGTCAATCCATTGTTGCATAACTAAACGTGGTTTAGATACATCGACTGTCGTTGGTAGCGCCTTAATCGATATGTACTCCAAATGTGGGCATGTGAACTATGCTGAAATGATATTTCAGTCATTGCCCAAGAAGAACTTGGTGTCTTGGAATGCAATGATCTCGGGTTTGGCTCGAAATGGCAAAACGATGGAAGTGATCCATCTTTTTGAGAAGTTAAAGACGATGAAAGATGTAACACCTGATAGCATCACATTTCTTAGCATTCTACTATCATGTTCAGATAACCAGGTTCCATTGGAGACCACAATGCAGTACTTCAAATCTATGATTGAGGATTTTGGTATCGAACCAACTGTTGAGCATTGTTGTACTATGGTTAGGCTAATGGGACAAAGAGGGGATGTTTATAGAAGTAAGAAGCTGATACATGAATTGGGGTTCGATTCGAATGGGTCGGTTTGGCGAGCTCTTTTGGGTGCTTGTGCTCTTTGGAAGGATTTAAAACTAGCAAAAGTAGCAGCTGCAAAAGTAATAGAATTAGGGGCTGCTGATGATTATGTACATGTTATGATGTCTAACATATTGGCATCTCATGGAAAATGGAGAGATGTGAGAGAAGTTAGGGAGCTGATGAGAAAGAAAGGGGTTAGAAAGGAAACTGGATATAGTTGGTTGATCGAGATGGAAAACGAAAATTCTTCATCAAACTAGTTCGAAGTCTAACAAAGAATTAGGTACGATCTTTTTGCAGATTTTTTTCTTCTTTGGCATAAAGCTTCCAAGTTTCTATTGAGAATATTATTAATGGATTTGGTATAACTAATAAGTTGTCTTCTTGTTCAACACTTGAGATTGGTTTGACCACTTGAATAAAAAATGTGAGATCTCACATCGATTAGAGAACAGAATATAACATTGTTTATAAGGGTGTGTAAACCTCTCTCTCTAACATATCCGTTTTATAAACCTTGAGAAGAAGTTCAAAAAGAAAAACCAAAATAAGACAATATCTGCTAATGGTGGGCTTGAGCTATTATAAATGGTATCAAAGTCAAACATCAGGGAGATGTGTTGGTGGATTTGGAGGGGTCCTGAGATGGGAACGAATGCTAGCAAGGACGTTGGTCCCCAAGGGGATGGATTGTAAAATCCCACATCAATTAAGGAAAATGAAGCATTCTTCATAAGTGTAGAAACCTCTCTTTAGCAGATGCACTTTAAAAATCGGGAAGAAAAGCCCAAAGATAACAATATTTGATAGTGGTGGGCTTGAGCCATTACAAAAAAAAAATCTTGAAAGAAAGCCCAAAGATGACAATAACGGCTAGCAATAGGCTTGAGCCGTTACAAAAAACATATGCCTAAATCATATTGGCAACAAATTTAAGATCATGAATGACAATTTAACGGCCAACGATCTCTTCGTGTACAAGATTATTTCCCAACAAACCTTTCGTGTTAGAATGTCTTAAGCTCATAGTACAAAATATGGCATGCCTTATTTTGTTGGCTGCTTTGTCTAGGAGTAAGCAAAACAGCCCCCCATCTGTCTACAAGAAATACTATACCACAAACAAAGGAAAATAGTATGATGTCTATTGTATGAGAAATATCAAACAACAATGGCAACAAAGGCGAAAATATGATGTCCTGAGTTGCCGGTAAGCACTAGAATCACTATATTCTTATTTCAACACATTCTGCCGTCTGGAAGAATCAAAACTAGTTAACCAAATTGAGCAGTAATGATCACAGTACGTAAATGAAATCCACAAGACCATGGCCGACATCCTCTTGTCACTGCAACAATCTTCCCAAAGAAGTCACCTTGGAACTGATAAGCCCAGCTCTGCAGCCACAGAATACAAATAAATAAGAAAAAACAGACTACGAACATCGGTAGAAATTCTACTGGGAATGAAGTCTTGCAATATGACTCGCATCCTCTCATTCAATGCAATTGATGCAGCTATCTAGTTCTACAGTTGCAAAGAAAACCATACAGTAGAGTCAACAATGCCAACTGATACATGATCCTCAGGTAATATAGATTTTTCTTTAGTTAGATAGTTGTTCGGTAAGATTAATCGAGGTATACAGAAATTGGCACGGGAATAAAGGAGTAAAGGTTTCATTACATTTACAGTAGGTAAATCAAAGGTACCCAGAACTAACATCTACGGACCTTTACACATCACTCAAAAAGTGACATTTCTAGATTAGTGAAGCATAGAGTGACTGACCCACCTTCAAAAACAGCAAATATGTCTCACGTACCATCAATTGCATCTGGGGCAATGAGAAGTTATGTCATATAGATTATTTGATAAAAGAAATTAATGGGTTGAATGATAAGAACAATCATAAGATTATTTGTGAGTCACAAAAATGATGAAAACAAAAATGATGCAGATCACCGAACATACGAAGCTTTGTTCACATAACGGATATACAATAAACTAAGACTATTGACTGGACTGGATCATCCCTTTACTCCAATGCAACAATCTCCATGAGAATAGAACAGACTCTTGTCGAGATAATTTCTTTTTCAGGATGATGATAACTAGAGTGAAGCTGATCGATGGGCAAACCTAATTTGTCATTCCATTCTCTTAAATTTAGAGGTTTATTTTCAAGTAAAAAGTATTCTAAGAGAAACTCCTAAGATTTAAAGATTCAGGAATTGATTACTACTAAATGAGAAAGTGTGACTCAAACTTTTCATAAGGAAATTAAAAGTGGCGCCAACCCACCACTGACAGAGACCACTAGTTCCTAACTGTGATAGAAATATGAATATCATCGACATTTTAGGACTACTATGAGATGATTAGTAATGTACTTGAAATCGATTCACTGCACCATAATCAGAAGGCTCCATAAACTTCCAATCTATTTCTTTATGCATCATAATCAATTCGCATATTGACATTCGATATTATGTGCCTGCAGGAACCAAATACTCCAGTCAGTTTCAAGGTCCCCAGTCAACAATCAGTCTTTCTATTCATTCAATCCTTATCGTTCTACAACTAATTTTACTCGACCAATCGAACTGGGGGACAAAAGTTGAAACCAATAAACAACGAAACTAGATACTGAACACAAGGACCAAACCTACGATGGTTTTACTTCCTGGGATGGTTAACTTCGAAATTCTTGCTCAGCCTCCCATCTTCTACATAAGTTGATCGACAACCTCCTAAAGTATAGGTAACAATCCAGTATTCTAAACTTCCAAACTAAAATTGCACCAATTTATAACAGAAGGACGTCAAAGAAAACCCCCGAGAATATCAAATGTGTGATCACGGAATATGGTTGATACTTCCTACATAATCTCCAAGATTTTCGGAACAATACACCAATGTCCAAGACAACAATAATCAGCAAATACCAACACAAGGACACAAGACAATTATAGCGCAAGAAAAGGAAATGTCCGCAAATAATGCATAAAAAAGCTACTCACACTTCAAAAGGAAGTACAATATTTCATGTTAGAGGCTGGGAGAGGTGCAGCAGAGAGTACCCTGAGAAAGCGCACGACAACTCCTCGAATTTGTACTCAGACATGAAATCATTCTCGCTCCAGCAACCGCGTTGTGAAAAGGCAAAAGAGATTGCACGCATCCGAGCTCCGACGGGGCCCTAGTAGTAGATCAAGAAGTTTTGAAAAAGAACAAACAAAAGATTGAAACAACTCACAACAAGATACACAAAACAAGGAGAAATGAAAGGATAACCAGACTTACCCGGCGAGCGAGAACCGGCGAACAGATGGTGCAGTGCAATTGAAAGGTAAAGTGAACGGAGAAGATGAAGCTTTGGGCGGCGAATTTGTACGAACAACTGTTCTGATGGAGGATTGAGAGATTCTGCTCGCAATTCTTCGGCAAGCGGAAGCCATGAAAGAAGATGAGAGATCTGTAAATTCTGCAAGAAACGACTGACCTGAAAGGGGGTTAAGGGTTTTAGAACTGTAATAAAATAAAATAAATTTCATTTAAATTTTGAAAAAAGAAAAAAGAAAAAAGAGAATGGGCTGGGCTTTCTAAATTGGGCTGGGCTTTCTGAATTGGAATTGGCCCAACCCATCTTCAATTGTACGTTGCATTTCAAGGCCCTAAACCCATTTAGTTTCATATTTATAATTCTTTTCCATTAATTTTTCATTTTCTTTCATTTTTATTAACATTCAAAATTGAGTAAAATTATTAATATCGTAATTTAAATTAATAAAAATATTATTGATCTTTGCACTTTACCTCAAAAATACCCGAAACTTTCAAAAATTTCGATAATACCCTTATCCTTTTAAAAAATACCCTTTAATTTTCAAAAGTGTTTAAAAAAATATAACGAGTTTTTCAAAATCTCATTAATACCTTTAAACTTTTTAAATAACTTAAAAAAAACGTCTTTAATTTTTTTTTATTAAAAAATACATTTACGGTTACATTTCAAAAACATTCATTAACTTTTAAAAATAAGGTTAAAAAGGTTCAGAGATAATCTATGAGAGGTCAAGAGAAGGTTTTTGTCCGTAGATTGAGAATAAAATCTTTTTTGAACTTTTTTTTATAAAAATAAAAATGTGTTAATGATGCTTTTAAAATTTAGCAGGTATTTTTTAATTAAAAAAATTTAAAATTTATGATTATTTTCAATTCATCTGTTAAAAAAAAAAGATTAATTATTAAAAAAAATATTAATAACGAGTTTTTACGGTTTAAACTCGCATTAATGTGAATGAGACATGTATCACATAACATACTCTAAACGTACATCATAAATAATATGAGCGACATTATTGTAAATAATTTTTATACGACAATATTCATAATCTAAGCATGTGACCACGTACCCATTCATACATTAATAATAATGGAGGACCCATAAAATATGTAACGTGTCTTGTATTTAAGCTTCCAGTGTATTTCATTATTTTTGTGGGGTAGTTTCCTTTAAATGAATGTCACTTTTAACTCTCGGATTTCTACAAACAAAGGGATTGTCCTCTCGATCGAGCTCGATTTCAATTTAGTATTCTATTTATTCAGGATGGGCAGTGTGAACTCTGATTCGATTCCACAAATTTAATCGTTTGAGTATGCTCTTATGTAGCCTAAGTATTAATTGTGACGACATGGACCACCATTAAATGTGTGACCTAAAGATTAATTGTGAGATCCCATATGGAGAGGGAACAAAACATTTTTTTATAAAAGTGTGAAAACTTTTCTTTGTCCGATGTGTTTAAAATCATGAGACTGACGATGATACGTCATGGGTCAAGCGGATAATATTTACTAATAGTGGGTTTGAACTGTCACAAATGGTATCAGAGCCAGATACCGGGTGGTGTGCTAGCGAACGCTAGCTCCCAACGGAGGTGAATTGCAAGATCCCACATCGGTTGGAGAGAGGAACGAAACATTTCTTTGTTCTTAAAAACTAATAATAATAATAATAATATATAACAAAAAAAAAATCAAATAAATCCCTAAATTTATAATCTCATATTTAGATCTCTTACCATATTCAACCATTTTCAATTAAACAAATTTATTTAATATAATTTTTTTTATTAGACATAATAAATTTAGTAACTTTTAGAATAAAATTTTAAAAAAAATAAAGATTTAATAATTTTAAAAAATGTATGAAATTATTTACCTAAATAAATTTTAGGGCTAAACTAGAAATTAAAAATTTACTATTTATTCAATTAAACAAATTTAATT